GAGTGTCTGTTCATCCCTGCTCCCATCCCTGCTCCCATCTTCACTCCCACAGTGTCTGTTCATCCCTGCTCCCATCCCTGCTCCCATCTTCACTCCCACAGTGTCTGTTCATCCCTGCTCCCATCCCTGCTCCCATCTTCACTCCCACAGTGTCTGTTCATCCCTGCTCCCATCCCTGCTCCCATCTTCGCTCCCACAGTGTCTGCTCAGCCCCACTCCCACCTCGGCTCCTCTGTCCATTCATCCCTCCTCCCATCCCTGCTCTCAGCCCCATTTCCATCCCTGCTCCCACACCCCTCACATTCCTGGTCCCATCTCCATTTCCACCTCTGCTCCCACACCCCTCACATTCCTGGTCCCATCTCCATTTCCACCTCTGCTCATCCCTTCTCCCATCCCTGCTCCCATTCCCGCTCATCTGCTCTATCCCTGCTCCCATCCTCACTCCCATCCTCATTCCTGCTCATCTGCTCTATCCCTGCTCCCATCCTCACTCCCATCTCCATTCCTGCTCATCTGCTCTATCCCTGCTCCCATCCCCATTCCTGCTCATCTGCTCTATCCCTGCTCCCATTCCCACTCCCATCTCCATTCCTGCTCATCTGCTCTATCCCTGCTCCCATCCTCACTCCCATCCCCATTCCCGCTCATCTGCTCTATCCCTGCTCCCATCCTCACTCCCATCCCCATTCCTGCTCATCTGCTCTATCCCTGCTCCCATCCTCACTCCCATCTCCATTCCTGCTCATCTGCTCTATCCCTGCTCCCATTCCCAATCCCATCCCCATTCCTGCTCATCTGCTCTATCCCTGCTCCTATTCCCAATCCCATCCCCATTCCTGCTCATCTGCTCTATCCCTGCTCCCATTCCCAATCCCATCTCCATTCCTGCTCATCTGCTCTATCCCTGCTCCCATCCTTGCTCCCATCCCCATTCCTGCTCATCTGCTCTATCCCTGCTCCCATCCCCATTCCTGCTCATCTGCTCTATCCCTGCTCCCATCCCCACTCCCATTCCTGCTCATCTGCTCTATCCCTGCTCCCATTCCCAATCCCATCCCCATTCCTGCTCATCTGCTCTATCCCTGCTCCCATCTCCATTCCTGCTCATCTGCTCTATCCCTGCTCCCATTCCCACTCCCATCCCCACTCCTGCTCATCTGCTCTGTCCCTGCTCCCATCCTCACTCCCATCCCCATTCCTGCTCATCTGCTCTATCCCTGCTCCCATCTCCATTCCTGCTCATCTGCTCTATCCCTGCTCCCATTCCCAATCCCATCTCCATTCCTGCTCATCTGCTCTATCCCTGCTCCCATCCTTGCTCCCATCCTCACTCCCATCTCCATTCCTGCTCATCTGCTCTATCCCTGCTCCCATCTCCATTCCCGCTCATCTGCTCTATCCCTGCTCCCATCCCCATTCCTGCTCATCTGCTCTATCCCTGCTCCCATTCCCAATCCCATCTCCATTCCTGCTCATCTGCTCTATCCCTGCTCCCATCCTCACTCCCATCCCCATTCCTGCTCATCTGCTCTATCCCTGCTCCCATTCCCAATCCCATCTCCATTCCTGCTCATCTGCTCTATCCCTGCTCCCATTCCCAATCCCATCCCCATTCCTGCTCATCTGCTCTATCCCTGCTCTCATCCTCACTCCCATCCTCACTCCCATCCTCACTCCCATCCTCACTCCCATCCCCACTCCTGCTCATCTGCTCTATCCCTGCTCCCATCCTCACTCCCATCCCCATTCCTGCTCATCTGCTCTATCCCTGCTCCCATCCTCACTCCCATCTCCATTCCTGCTCATCTGCTCTATCCCTGCTCCCATCCTCACTCCCATCTCCATTCCTGCTCATCTGCTCTGTCCCTGCTCCCATCCTCATTCCCATCTCCATTCCTGCTCATCTGCTCTATCCCTGCTCCCATCTCCATTCCTGCTCATCTGCACTATCCCTGCTCCCATCCCCATTCCTGCTCATCTGCTCTATCCCTGCTCCCATCCTCGCTCCCATCCCCATTCCTGCTCATCTGCTCTATCCCTGCTCCCATCCTCACTCCCATCTCCATTCCTGCTCATCTGCTCTATCCCTGCTCCCATTCCCAATCCCATCCCCATTCCTGCTCATCTGCTCTATCCCTACTCCCATTCCCAATCCCATCCCCATTCCTGCTCATCTGCTCTATCCCTGCTCCTATTCCCAATCCCATCTCCATTCCTGCTCATCTGCTCTATCCCTGCTCCCATTCCCAATCCCATCTCCATTCCTGCTCATCTGCTCTATCCCTGCTCCCATCCTCACTCCCATCTCCATTCCTGATCATCTGCTCCCATCCTCACTCCCATCCCCACTCCCATCCCCATTCCTGCTCATCTGCCCCATCCCTGCTCCCATCCTCACTCCCATCCCCATTCCTGCTCATCTGCTCCCATCCTCACTCCCATCTCCATTCCTGCTCATCTGCTCTATCCCTGCTCCCATCCTCACTCCCATCTCCATTCCTGCTCATCTGCTCTATCCCTGCTCCCATCTCCATTCCTGCTCATCTGCTCTATCCCTGCTCCCATCCCCATTCCCGCTCATCTGCTCTATCCCTGCTCCCATCCTCACTCCCATCCCCATTCCTGCTCATCTGCTCTATCCCTGCTCCCATCCTCACTCCCATCCCCATTCCTGCTCATCTGCTCTATCCCTGCTCCCATCTCCATTCCTGCTCATCTGCTCTATCCCTGCTCCCATCCTCACTCCCATCCCTGCTCCCTTTCCCTCTCCCATCTCCATTCCCATCCCTGCTCCTCCCTGATCCTATCCCTGTTCCCATCCTCCTTCCATCCCTGTCCCTTTCCCCCTCTCCCATCCCCTCTCCCACCCCCTGCCCCGCCCAATCCCTGCCTTTCCCGCTCTGTGGATCCCACCCTTGGAATGTCGGCCGGACGGGAGCCACGGCATTCCCAGGACCTCACCTCAGAGGGAAGGAGAGCTCCAGCTGCTCGATGACCTGCCAGGAGGGGGAGGGGACGAGGCTCAGCTGGGAGGGGGACACATCACATGGGGGGGAGGGGGACACACTTGGGAAAGCAAATCCATGGATCTTACCGACTTCTGGGCATCAAACATCAGGTTTTTGTAGAACTGGATGAAGTGGGAGAAAGTCATTTCATTCCTGGCTTCCACTTCCTGCGGGAGACGGGGCCAAAGGTGAGACCTGGGTGGTTCCAGCCCCTCTGGAAGGGCTGGAAAACCATCTCCCTCCCGGGTGGGGTGTCCAGGGGGTCCTTACCACGAGTTTATCCCGCAGGAATCTCATGTTGGGAACGCGGTAATTCACCTGGGGCAGCATCGCCTTCAGGTCCTTCACGGTGATGCTGCCGGGGCGGGACACGGAGTCAGGAGGGAGAATCCCTGGATCTCAAAATTCCCACCCCAAATCCTGGGGCCTGGCGTGGGGATCCCACCCTCCTGGCCTGTGGAACCCACTCCAGGCACAGGACCCGGAGAAACTGTGGATGTCCCATCCTGGGAAGTGTCCAAGGCCAGGATGGACGGGGGTTGGAGCAACCTGGGCTAGTGGGAGGTGTCCCTGCCCACAGCAGGGGGTTGGAATTCCAGGATCTTTAGGTCTCTTCCCACCCAAACCATTCCATGATTAACTGGGTGGTGTTTGGCACAAGTGTGAGCAGAGGGACAAGGAGAAGAAGCACATCCCAAGAACCAACTGGGCTCTCTTGGCCATCATCCCACCTGGAGATGATGCCCATTCCCATCTCCATCACGATGATTTGGGCTTTTCCCTGCCTTTGGAAGTTGTTTCTGGGCTTCATTAATGGTCCAGCCCCTCCAGGCACTGCTGGAAATGATGCAGAAATCAGGATCCCCGTGGGCCTCACCCCCAAAACCTCCGCTTTCCATCCTAAATAACCCGGTGCTCCCTCATCCCACAAAGCCATCAGAATTTGGGATGCAACCGGGGAATATGATCCTGTCCTGCCAATTTGGGATGCAACTGAGGGGAATATGATCCTGTCCTGCCAATTTGGGATGCAACTGAGGGGAATATGATCCTGTCCTGCCAAACCCACCACCCACTCCCCACCTTTGGGGCTGTGTTGGTGCTCACCTGCCCTCCCGTGCCCGGTCCATGCCATCAAACTGCTTCCTAAGCCACCTGGGAAGGAAGGGACGGACACACACACAGAGCACTCAGCACCACAGAGGAGCAAATCCAGGGGGGGAATTTCATCCCTCACCCAGGGATGTGCCAGGGGCTTCCCCACCTCTCGATCTGCAGCGGGGTCTGGGCCCTCTGGGTATCAGCCACCAGCCAGTTGAGCCCCGTTATCCAGAGGTTGATGTCCTCCTCGCAGAAAGCTGGAGAAAGGGGGAAGGAGGGATAGGAAATCGTGGGATGCTGGGAAAAGGGGGTGGGACACAAGGAAAGGTGAGGGAGGGAGATCCCAACGCACCGGCCACGCTGAGCGTCCGCAGCCTGAAGTCCATCCCGTAGAGGATGATGAAGCACATGGTGAAGTCCAATTTCCGAGCATCCTCGGGGTAGCGCTCGAAATCCCGGGAGTTCTTGCCCAGGCGGATCTCCTTGATCTCCCGGATGTCAACTGCAGGGAGAGAGAGAGAGAGAGGAAGGTGGAAGTGTCTGCCCTGATGTTGTGGATTCATGGGAGGGACTCACGGAGGTGGGACTGCCAGGAGATCTGGTGTCCTCTGGGGAGATCTGTCCCCAGGGATGGGACATTCCCAGGAACACGGGTGCTGTGGCCACGTGGAGACACGTCCCCGGTGCCCTGATGGCACCATGGGCACGGCCTGTCCTTCAGGGAACTGGAATTCCCTGGAATGGGGTTTCCCCCTTGGGGTGGGATGGCACCATGTCCTCCATGGATTTGTGTCCTGGGATGGGGTTTCCCTGGTGGGGTGGGATGGCATCGTGTCCTCCGTGGATTTGTGTCCTGGGACCCTTGGGGTGGGATGGCATCATGTCCTCCATGGATTTGTGTCCTGGGATGGGGTTTCCCAGGTGGGGTGGGATGGCACCATGTCCTCCATGGATTTGTGTCCTGGGATGGGGTTTCCCAGGTGGGGTGGGATGGCACCATGTCCTCCATGGATTTGTGTCCTGGGATGGGGTGTCCCCCTTGGGGTGGGATGGCATCATGTCCTCCATGGATTTGTGTCCTGGGATGGGGTGTCCCCCTTGGGGTGGGATGGCATCATGTCCTCCATGGATTTGTGTCCTGGGATGGGGTTTCCCTGGTGGGGTGGGATGGCATCGTGTCCTCCATGGATTTGTGTCCTGGGATGGGGTGTCCCCATTGGGGTGGGATGGCATCGTGTCCTCCATGGATTTGTGTCCTGGGATGGGGTGTCCCCACTGGGCATCAGGGGTGCCATGGCCGTGTGTCCTCCAGGGAATCGTGTCCCCAGGGATGGGACATTCCCAGGAACACGGGTGCTGTGGCCACGTGGAGACACGTCCCCAGTGCCCTGATGGCACCATGGGCACGGCCTGTCCTTCAGGGAACTGGAATTCCCTGGAATGGGGTTTCCCCCTTGGGGTGGGATGGCATCATGTCCTCCATGGATTTGTGTCCTGGGATGGGGTGTCCCCATTGGGGTGGGATGGCACCATGTCCTCCATGGATTTGTGCCCTGGGATGGGGTGTCCCCATTGGGGTGGGATGGCACCGTGTCCTCCATGGATTTGTGTCCTGGGATGGGGTTTCCCAGGTGGGGTGGGATGGCATCATGTCCTCCATGGATTTGTGTCCTGGGATGGGGTTTCCCAGGTGGGGTGGGATGGCATCGTGTCCTCCATGGATTTGTGTCCTGGGATGGGGTGTCCCTAGGTGGGTGGGATGGCATCATGTCCTCCATGGATTTGTGTCCTGGGATGGGGTGTCCCTGGGGTGGGATGGCACCATGTCCTCCATGGATTTGTGTCTGGATGGGGTGTCCCTTGGGGTGGGATGGCACCATGTCCTCCATGGATTTGTGTCCTGGGATGGGGTGTCCCCTTGGGGTGGGATGGCATCATGTGTCCTCCATGGATTTGTGTCCTGGGATGGGGTGTCCCAGGTGGGGTGGGATGGCACCATGTCCTCCATGGATTTGTGTCCTGGGATGGGGTGTCCCCATTGGGGTGGGATGGCACCATGTCCTCCATGGATTTGGTGTCCTGGGATGGGGTGTCCCAGGTGGGGTGGGATGGCACCATGTCCTCCATGGATTTGTGTCCTGGGATGGGGTTTCCCAGGTGGGGTGGGATGGCATCATGTCCTCCATGGATTTGTGTCCTGGGATGGGGTGTTCCCTGGTGGGGTGGGATGGCACCGTGTCCTCCATGGATTTGTGTCCTGGGATGGGGTGTCTCCTTGGGGTGGGATGGCATCATGTCCTCCATGGATTTGTGTCTCTGGGATGGGGTGTCCCTTGGGGTGGGATGGCATCATGTCCTCCATGGATTTGTGTCCTGGGATGGGGTTTCAGGTGGGGTGGGAGACACGTCCCGGTGTCCTGATGGCACATCGGCGGCCTGTCCTCTCATGGACTTGTGCCCTGGGATGGGGTTCCCAGGTGGGGTGGGATGGCATCATGTCCTCCATGTGATTTGTGTCCTGGGATGGGGTTTCTGGTGGGGTGGGATGGCATCATGTCCTCCATGGATTTGTGTCCTGGGATGGGGTGTCCCCCTTGGGGTGGGATGGCATCGTGTCCTCCATGGATTTGTGTCCTGGGATGGGGTTTCCCAGGTGGGGTGGGATGGCATCGTGTCCTCCATGGATTTGTGTCCTGGGATGGGGTTTCCCAGGTAGGGTGGGATGGCATCGTGTCCTCCATGGATTTGTGTCCTGGGATGGGGTTTCCCAGGTGGGGTGGGATGGCACCATGTCCTCCATGGATTTGTGTCCTGGGATGGGGTGTCCCCACTGGGCATCAGGGATGCCATGGCCGTGTGTCCTCCAGGGAATTGTGTCCCCAGGGATGGGACATTCCCAGGAACACGGGTGCTGTGGCCATGGGGAGACACGTCCCCGGTGCCCTGATGGCACCATGGGCACGGCCTGTCCTTCAGGGAACTGGAATTCCCTGGAATGGGGTGTCCCCCTTGGGGTGGGATGGCACCATGTCCTCCACGGATTTGTGTCCTGGGATGGGGCGTCCCTGGTGGGGTGGGATGGCATCGTGTCCTCCATGGATTTGTGTCCTGGGATGGGGTTTCCCAGGTGGGGTGGGATGGCACCATGTCCTCCATGGATTTGTGTCCTGGGATGGGGTTTCCCAGGTGGGGTGGGATGGCACCATGTCCTCCATGGATTTGTGTCCTGGGATGGGGTGTCCCCCTTGGGGTGGGATGGCACCATGTCCTCCATGGATTTGTGTCCTGGGATGGGGTGTCCCAGGTGGGGTGGGATGGCACCATGTCCTCCATGGATTTGTGTCCTGGGATGGGGTGTCCCAGGTGGGGTGGGATGTCGGTCACTGTGGGATGGCATCATGTCCTTTATGGATTTGTGTCCTGGGATGGGGTTTCAGGGGTGGGCGTGTCCTCCATGATTTGTGTCCTGGGATGGGTGTCCAGTGGGGTGGGATGGCATCGTGTCCTCCATGGATTTGTGTCCTGGGATGGGGTTTCCAGTGTGGGGTGGGATGGCATCATGTCTCCTCCATGGATTGTGTCCTGGGATGGGGTTTCCCAGGTGGGGTGGGATGGCATCATGTCCTCCATGGATTTGTGTCCTGGGATGGGGTGTCCCAGGTGGGGTGGGATGGCATCATGTCCTCCATGGATTTGTGTCCTGGGATGGGGTGTCCCCCTTGGGGTGGGATGGCACCATGTCCTCCATGGATTTGTGTCCTGGGATGGGGTGTCCCCCTTGGGGTGGGATGGCACCATGTCCTCCATGGATTTGTGTCCTGGGATGGGGTGTCCCCATTGGGGTGGGATGGCATCATGTCCTCCACGGATTTGTGTCCTGGGATGGGGTGTCCCAGGTGGGGTGGGATGGCACCATGTCCTCCATGGATTTGTGTCCTGGGATGGGGTGTCCCCACTGGGCATCAGGGGTGCCATGGCCGTGTGTCCTCCAGGGAATCGTGTCCCCAGGACAGGCTGTCACCTCCACATGCCTGATGACCCCCCCACTCCAGGGATTCCCACCCCCAGGATGTGGTTCCCGCCGGCGCTTCCCACACTTTTCCCAGCTCTGCGGCTGCCACGCGTCCTCCAGGCCCATCCTGCCCCATCCCAACCGGCCCAGGGCAGACCCCGGGATGGGCTGAGCTCGTCTTGGAATTGGAAACTCTTCCCCAAAGTGGCAATTTGAGCTGGGACCGCAGGGCGTTGCTTTCCTGCTGCTCTGCTCCCTCATTATCCCGCTAAATAAAGCTCCGGCGGCGTTGGAAGGGCCGGGTTTCCGGAGCCTGCTCTTCCTCACCGCTCCTCCTTCCAATTTTCCCAGTGGATTTGTCCCACTGGGGGAGCAGAATAAAAATAACATATTCTTAGGAATGACACCCAAAGCCGTTCCCCGGTCCCAAAACCATCACCCCTCCCCCTTGGGAAGGTTTGGACTCTGGGAATGAGCCAGGGACACCGGAAAGGTCTTTGTGTGCCGGAGCCCCAGCCTGGCCATTGTCCTGCCGAGGAAATGGCTCATTTCCCGCACGATTTCCATGTGGGATGTGGGATGTGGCGCTGGGGAAGGGCCCAGCAAAGCCCGGAGCCCGATCCGAAGTGGGCAAAGCAAAGCTGAAAGCAGGGAGGGGAAAAAGGGATGGGGGTTGATTAAGCAAGAAAAGAGGGGTCGGGGAGTTTTCCTTGGCGGAAAAGCTCCGGCAAACAGTGGAGGTTTTATCCAGGCTTTTTGTGCTGTTTTGGTTGGATGAGAGCGAGCCAAATTTCATGGATCGGGGTGGGATTTTAGCACAGGGGGGCTTTTGCAGCCTGGCACGGGTTCTTTTTGGGATAAGATGCCAAGAAATCCAATCTCGTGGTCTCCGTGGGGCTCCCGGGGCTTGGAGAAAAATCTTCTTGGTACAAACAAGAGGATTTTTTTTTTTAGGGGAGGAAAAATGGATTTATGGGTTAAAAAGCAGCTGCTCAACCCCAAACCTGCCCATCCACAGGGAGAAGGGGAGAATCTCACAGGGCTTGGTCAACAGGTCCCAAAGGGATATTCCTGGGATTCAACACTGCCAGGATCAGGCCTTGGATCAGCACTCTGGGTGCTGCCAATATTCCCGGGATGGTTTGAGTTGGAAGGCAGTGGAAAGATGGTGGAATTCCAAACCCCTGCCGTGGGCAGGGACACCTCCCACTGTCCCACATTGCTCCAGATTGGCCTGGAACACTTCCAGGGATGGGGCAGCCACAGTTTCTCTGGGAATTCCATCCCAGCCCCTCCCCACCTTCTCAGCCAGGAATTCCTTCCCAACATCCCACCTAACCCTGGGAAGCCATTCCCTGTGTCCTGTCCCTCCATCCCTTGTCCCCAGTCCCTCTCCAGCTCTCCTGGAGCCTCTTTAGGCCCTGGAAGTGGCTCCAAGGTCTCCCTGGATCCTTCCCTCCTCCAGGTGAACATTCCCAGCTCTTCCAGGTGGATCTCACCTGAGTGAACATTCCCACCTCTCCCAGATGGGATCTCACCTGAGCGGGTCAGAGGGGCTGAATCCCCCCCCATTCCCCCACTTCCCACACACTGTGGGATGAGCCCAAAACACAAGGGAATTTCTGCTTTCCCACCCCCCAAATCCCTCTCCCTGTGGCAAAGAGCCCATTCCCACAAAAACCAGGGGAAGAGGGAGCGGCCGCACAAAACAAGGGAGCCGGAGCCGGGAGCTTCCTGGAAACCACATCTGCGGCGGATTTGCAGGGATCACGTCGGAAACCGTGTCTCCAAACTCCTCCCAGCATTGTCTCCGGGATCCCAGGCCATTAAAACACTCTGGAAGGATTAAAAAAACCCCCTGGAAGTTGAGGCTTCCAGCTGTGAAAATCCCTCTTTTTTTTCCTTGTCTAAAGCAAAGCGGGCGGCTCCCGGAGCAAAGAGGATTTGGAACGGTGGGAAGAGCAGGTCCTGCCCGGAGGGTTTTAAGGGATGTTGAGTGAAGGCCTGGGAATTTTTTTTTTTTTCCAGGTCTTAGGAGGGAAAAAGGGGATGGAGGGAATTCCAGCCTCAGTCATCCCTTCTTGTAGGACAGCTGGAAGCTCAGAATTCCCTCCAGGGGGGAGTTGGGAGAGAGCGTTCCCTGGGAATTCCCACGGTGGGATTTAAAACCTGAAATATTTCCTCCTGGTTCAGGAGTGATTAATCCCACTTGGATTTTCTCCTCCCCCCCAAAAAAATCCCATTTCTAATTATTTGGCATAAACGAGGTTGGAAGTGTCACCTCTCCAAAATCCTCTTGGATTTTCCAGGCTGCCTTCATCCCGGTGGTTTTTCATTTCTTATAAAGATCCTTTTTTTGGGGGTTGTTTTCTGCCAGATTCCCTGGGCTGGGGGAATTCCCTGGGAAAGTGGGACTTGCTGAGGGTGAGGGGCTGGAAGACCTCCAGGATGAGGTTAATTTGGGAGGGGATGTTCCAGGTGATCCCAGGCCTGGATGTGGATTCCAGGCCTGGACATGGATCCTGGACCTGGACACAACTCCCAGACCTGGACACAAATCCCGGGCCATGTGTCCTCCATGGACATTGGATCATGAATCACTAGACATGGATGCCAGGCCTGGACACGGATCCCGGGCCTGGACACGGATCCCAGGCCTGGACACAAATCCTAGGTCTGGACACAAATCCTAGGCATGGACACGGATCCCGGGCATGGACACGGATCCTAGGCATGGACACGGATCCCAGACATGGACATGGATCCCAGACATGGACATGGATCCCAGGCATGGACACGGATCCCGGACATGGACACGGATCCCGGGCCTGGACACGGATCCCGGGCATGGACATGGATCCCAGACATGGACACGGATCCCAGACATGGACATGGATCCCAGACATGGACACGGATCCCGGGCATGGACACGGATCCCAGGCATGGACACGGATCCCGGACATGGAAAATCCTAGGCCTGGAAACGGATCCTGGGCCTGGAAACGGATCCCGGGCCTGGAAACGGATCCCGGGCCTGGATCATGAATCCCGGGCATAGACACGGATCCCAGGCATGGACATGGATCCCAGGCATGGACACGGATCCCGGGCCTGGAAACGGATCCCGGACATGGACACGGATCCCGGACATGGACACGGATCCCGGACATGGACACGGATCCCGGGCATGGACACGGATCCCAGACATGGACACGGATCCCAGACATGGACACGGATCCCGGGCCTGGACACGGATCCTGGGCCTGGACACGGATCCCCGACATGGACACGGATCCCAGACATGGACACGGATCCCGGGCATGGACACGGATCCCAGACATGGACACGGATCCCGGGCATGGACACGGATCCTGGGCATAGACACGGATCCCAGACATGGACACGGATCCCAGACATGGACACGGATCCCAGACATGGACACGGATCCCGAGCCTGGAAACGGATCCTGGGCCTGGAAACGGATCCTGGGCCTGGAAACAGATCCCGGGCCTGGAAACGGATCCCAGGCCTGGAAACGGATCCCAGACATGGACACGGATCCCAGACATGGGCATGGATCCCAAGTATGGACACAAATCCCAGACATGGACATGAATCCCGGGCATAGACACGGATCCCAGGCATGGACATGGATCCCAGACATGGACACGGATCCCGGACATGGACACGGATCCCAGATATGGACACGGATCCCGGGCATGGACACGGATCCCAGGCATGGACACGGATCCCGGTCCCAGACACGGATCCCGGGCCTTGGACCCTGCACCTGGACACGGATCCCGGGCCTGGACATGGATCCCGGTCCCAGCCACAGATCCTGGTCCCAGACACAGATCCCAGTCCCAGACATGGATCCCGGTCCCAGACACGGATCCCGGTCCCAGACACGGATCCCGGTCCCAGACACGGGATCTCTGGCCCCAGACACGGATCTCGGTCCCTGACACAGATCCCGGTCTCTAGACACGGATCTCGGTCTCAGACATGGATCCCAGGCCCAGACACAGATCCCGGTCCCAGACACGGATCTCAGGCCCAGACACAGATCCCGGGCCTGGACACAGATCCCGGTCCCAGACACGGATCCAGTCTAGACACGGATCCCGGTCCCAGACACGGATCCCAGGCCCAGACACAGATCCCGGTCCCAGACACGGATCCCGGTCCCAGACACGGATCCCAGGCCCAGACACGGATCCCGGTCCCAGACACGGATCCCGGTCCCAGACACGGATCCCGGTCCCAGACACGGATCCCGGTCCCAGACACGGATCCCAGGCCCAGACACAGATCCCAGGGCCTGGACACAGATCCCGGTCCCAGACACGGATCCCGGTCCCAGACACGGATCCCGGTCCCAGACACGGATCCCAGTCCCAGACACGTGTCCATCAGCCACTTAACGAAGCGTGTCATTATCCCAGGAGTCCAGGGGAGAGCCTGGATCCGTGTCCTGGCCCCGACAATCCCTAACAGAGACATCATCCCATCCCACTAATCCCTCTCCCAGCTGGAAGTCGGCTGGAAGGGGGGATTTGAAACGGCCCCGGCAGGCGTGAGCTCCGGGAGATCCTGGCACTTCCACAACATCCCGGAGAGTGGGAGGATGTGGGAGCAGCAGGAGCTGGATCGGGGGGTGAGGATGTCCCAGCCCGGCACCCAGACAGGGATCGCTCCCACTCCAAGGGAGGGATGGGGTTGGATGCAAGGATTGCACCATTCCCAGGGGGATTTTTCCTTTTGTTTTCCTCTTTCTGGATGACCTCAGGGAGACATCCCAAAACTGAGTTCCTTCCCTGTGTGGGATGTGGGATGAGGTGATGGTGGAGCTCCAGGTCACCCCAATCCCAGGTTTTCATCCCTTGGCTCTTTCCAGCTCCATTTAAAGCCTGGAAGTGACGAGCACCAAGGCATGGAATTCCACCCAAGAGCCAGAATTCCACATCCCAAAGAGCCCAGTGAATCCATGAGGTAAGGATGGTTTTTAGGGATGCTCCAGCATCCCAGTTTTGGGGTTAAAAGCACCGTGAGCAGGAACAGCGATGGTTCCTCCTTCACCTCCTTGCCAGGGGGGATGTAAATCCCCAGGGATCCCATGGAAGCAGCTGCACCCCCAGGACAAGGTGGGAAGGAGGAGATGAGGGTTGCCCAGCCCAGCAGCTCCTGCTTTTATGGGAATCACCCCATGGTAGGACATTCCACAGGGGATGGAGATCCCACCGTGGTAGGATATCCCAACAGGTCCAAGAATCCCAAAATCAATCACCCCACCATGGTAGGACATCCCAACAGGAACAGGAACCCCAAAATCAGTCACTCCACCATGGCAGGACATCCCAATAGGAACAGGAACCCCAAAACCAGTCACCCCACCATGGCAGGACATCCCAATAGGAACAGGAACCCCAAAACCAGTCACCCCACCATGGCAGGACATCCCAATAGGAACAGGAACCCAAAAACCAGTCACTCCACCGTGGTAGGATATCCCAACAGGTCCAAGAACCCCAAAATCAGTCACCCCACCATGGCAGGACATCCCAATAGGAACAGGAACCCCAAAACCAGTCCCCCCACCATGGCAGGACATCCCAATAGGAACAGGAACCCCAAAACCAGTCACCCCACCATGGCAGGACATGCCAACAGGAACAGGAACCCCAAAACCAGTCACTCCACCATGGCAGGACATGCCAACAGGAACAGGAACTCCACAACCAGTCACCCCACCATGGCAGGACATCCCAATAGGAACAGGAACCCCAAAATCAGTCACCCCACCATGGTAGGACTTCCCACCAGCTCCAAGAACCCCACAACCAGTCACCCCACCATGGTAGGACATCCCAACAGGTCCAAGAACCCCACAACCAGTCACTCCACCATGGCAGGACATCCCAACAGGAACAGGAACCCCAAAATCAGTCACTCCACCATGGCAGGACATCCCAATAGGAACAGGAACCCCAAAACCAGTCACCCCACCATGGCAGGACATCCCACCATGAACAGGAACCCCAAAATCAGTCACCCCACCATGGCAGGACATCCCAACAGGTCCAAGAACCCCAAAATCAGTCACCCCACCATGGTAGGACATCCCAACAGGTCCAAGAACCCCAAAACCAGTCACCCCACCATGGCAGGACATCCCAACAGGTCCAAGAACCCCAAAATCAGTCACCCCACCACGGCAGGACATCCCAATAGGAACAGGAACCCCAAAACCAGTCACCCCACCATGGTAGGACATCCCAATAGGAACAGGAACCCCAAAATCAGTCACCCCACCATGGCAGGACATCCCAACAGGTCCAAGAACCCCAAAATCAGTCACCCCACCATGGCAGGACATCCCAATAGGAACAGGAACCCCTAAACCAGTCACTCCACCATGGCAGGACATCCCACCATGAACAGGAACCCCAAAATCAGTCACCCCACCGTGGCAGGACATCCCAACAGGTCCAAGAACCCCAAAATCAGTCACCCCACCATGGCAGGACATCCCACTGTGTCCAAGAACCCCAAAACCAGTCACCCCACCATGGCAGGACATCCCAACAGGAACAGGAACTCCACAACCAGTCAACCCCCCATGGTAGGACATCCCAATAGGAACAGGAACCCCAAAATCAGTCACCCCACCGTGGTAGGACATCCCAACAGGTCCAAGAACCCCAAAATCAGTCACCCCACCATGGCAGGACATCCCAATAGGAACAGGAACCCCAAAATCAGTCACCCCACCATGGCAGGACATCCCATCATGAACAGGAACCCCAAAACCAGTCACCCCACTGTGGTAGGACATCCCAACATGTCCAAGAATCCCAAAATCAGTCACTCCACCATGGCAGGACATCCCAACAGGTCCAAGAACCCCAAAATCAGTCACTCCACCACATCAGGACATCCCACCACGCCCCCAAAAACTCCCCAGCCACTCACCCCACCATGCCAGGACATCCCACCATGCCCAGGCACTCCACAACCAGTTTCCTCACCACAACAGGACCCCCCAACATGTCCAAGCACCCCACAGTGACCCCACCACAGCAGGACGTCCTACAACGACCAGACACACCATGCCAGGTACCCCACCATGGTAGAAGACCCCACCAGATCCAGGCACCCCACAACTGGACACCCCACCACGGGGGGACATCCCACCACAGCCATACAGCCACTTTCCCCATCACACCAGGACATCCCACCATGGCCAGGCAACCCAGAACCAGCTACCCCACCACAACAGGACATCCCACCACACCCCAAAAACTCCCCAGCCACTCACCCACCATGGCAGGACGTCCCACTATGGCCAGGCACCCCACAACCAGTCACCTCAACACATCCAGGCACCTCACAAGCAGTCACCTCACCACAATAGGACATCCCACCACAGCCACACAGCTGGTCACCCCACCATGGCAGGACATCCCACCACATCCAGGCACCCCAGAACCAGCCACCACACCACGGCAGGACATCCCACCACAGCCACACAGCCACTTTCCCCATCACACCAGGACATCCCACCACATCCAGGCACCCCAGAACCAGCTACCCCACCATAACAGGACATCCCACCACAGCCACACAGCCACTTTCCCCATCACACCAGGACATCCCACCATGGCCAGGCACCCCAGAACCAGCCACCACACCACACCAGGACATCCCACCACACCCCAAAAACTCCCCAGCCAGTCACCCCCCCAAGGTAGGACATCCCACCATGCCCAGGCACCCCACAATTGGTCACCCCACCATGGCAGGACATCTCCCCAAGCCCACCACCCCACAATCAGTCACCCCACCACGGCAGGACATCCCCCCAAGCTCACCACCCCAGAACCAGTCACCCCACCACGGCAGGACATCCCAACACATCCAGGCACCCCAAAATCAGTCACCCCACCACACCAGGACATCCCAACACATCCAGGCACCCCACAATCGGTCACCCCACCACACCAGGACATCCCAACACACCCAGACACCCCACAACAGGTCACCCCACCACACCAGGACATTCCAACACATCCAGGTACCCCACAACCAGTCACCCCACCATGGCAGGACATCCCAACACATCCAGGCACCCCAGAACTGGTCACCCCACCACGGCAGGACATCCCAACATATCCAGGCACCCCACAACCAGTCACCCCACCACACCAGGACATCTCTCCAAGCCCACCACCCCACAACCGGTCACCCCACCATGGCAGGAAATCCCAACACACCCAGACACCCCACAACCAGTCACCCCACCACACCAGGACATCTCTCCAAGCCCACCACCCCACAACCAGTCACCCCACCACACCAGGACATCCCAACACATCCAGGCACCCCAAAACCAGCCCACCCCACCACAGCAGGACATCCCACCACATCCAGTCACCCCACAAACAGTCACTCCACCATGGCAGGACATCCCAACACATCCAGACACCCCACAAACAGTCACCCCACCATGGCAGGACATCTCCCCAAGCCCAAGCCCCCCAGAAACAGTCACCCCACCACAGCAGGACATCCCACCACAGCCAGTTTCCCCACCACACCACAACACCCCACCACATTCAGGCACCCCAAAACCAGTCACCCCACCATGGCAGGACATCCCAACACATCCAGACACCCCACAGTCGGTCACCCCACCACGGCAGGACATCCCCCCAATCCCAAGCCCCCCACAATCGGCCACCTCACCACACCAGGACATCCCAACACATCCAGACACCCCACAGTCGGTCACCCCACCATGGCAGGACATCCCAACATATCCATGCACCCCAAAACCAACCACCCCACCACACCAGGACATCCCACCACACCCAGACACCCCACAAACAGTTTCCCCACCATGGTAGGACCTCCCCCCAAGCTCACCACCCCAGAACCAGTCACCCCACCACACCAGGACATCCCAACACATCCAGGTACCCCAGAACCAGTCACCCCACCATGGCAGGACATCCCAACTCATCCAGGCACCCCAAAAACAGTCACCCCACCACACCAGGACATCCCACCACACCCAGACACCCCACAATCGGTCACCCCACCATGGCAGGACATCTCCCCAAGCCCACCACCCCACAACCAGTCACCCCACCACACCACAACACCCCACCACATCCAGACACCCCACAAACAGTCACCCCACCACACCAGGACATCTCCCCAAGCCCAGGCACCCCACAACCAATCACCCCACCATAGCAGGACATCCCACCACATCCAGGCACCCCACAACCAGCCACTCCACCACGGCAGGACATCCCAACACACCCAGGCACCCCACAATTGGTCACCCCACCACACCAGGACATCCCAACACACCCAGGCACCCCACAACCAGTCACCCCACCACAGCAGGACATCCTACCACACCCCAAGACCCCCACAACCAGTCACTCCCACCATGGCAGGACATCCCACCATGCCCAGGCACCTCACAACCAGTCACCCCACCATGCCAGGACACCCCACCACAGCCCAAACACTCCACAACCAGTCACCCCACCATGGCAGGACATCCCAACACATCCAGGCACCCCACAACCAGTCATCCCACACATCAGGCACCCCGGACAGTCCCCAACACATCCAGGCACCCCACAACCGGTCACCCCACCACAGCAGGACATCCCACCACACCCAAACACTCCACAGCCAGTCACCCCACCATGGCAGGACATCCCACCACATCCAGGCACCCCACAAACAGTCACCCCACCACACCAGGACATCTCCAACACATCCCAGGCACCCCACAACCAGTCACCCCACCACGGCAGGACATCCCAACACATCCAGGCACCCCAGAACCAGTCACCCCACCACACCAGGACATCCCAACACATCCAGACACCCCACAACCGGCCACCCCACCACACCAGGACATCCCAACACATCCAGGCACCCCACAATCAGTCACCCCACCACGGCAGGACATCCTCACCAAGCCCAGACACCCCACAACCAGTCACCCCACCATGGCAGGACACCCCAACACATCCAGACACCCCAAAAACAGTCACCCCACCACACCAGGACATCCCAACACATCCAGGCACCCCACAATCGGTCACCCCACCACGGCAGGACATCCCAACACATCCAGGCACCCACAACCAGTCACCCCACCACACCAGGACATCCCAACACATCCAGACACTCCCACAACCGGTCACCCCACCACAGCAGGACATCCCAACACACCCAGGCACCCCAAAAACAGCCACCCCACCACAGCAGGACATCCCAACACATCCAGGCACCCCAAAAACAGCCACCCCACCACACCAGGACATCCCCCCAAGCCCAAGCCCCCCACAGCTGGTCATCCACCATGGCAGGACATCCCACCACAGCCCAGCCACCCCACAACCAGTCACCCCACCACAACAGGACATCCCAACACATCCAGGCACCCCAAAAACAGTCACCCCACCACACCAGGACATCCCCACAAGCCCAAGCCCCCACAACCAGTCACCCCACCACAGCAGGACATCCCACCACACCCAGGCACCTCAAAACCAACCACCCCACCATGTCAGGACATCCCAACACATCCAGACACTCCAAAACCAGCCACCCCACCATGGCAGGACACCCCAACACATCCAGGCACCCCAAAACCAGCCACCCCACCACAACAGGACATCCCACCACGCTCCAAAAACTCCTCAGTCAGTCACCCCACCATGGTAGGACACCCCAACACATCCAGGCACCCCACAACCAGTCATACCCAACACATCCAGGCACCCCACAGTCAGTCACCCCACCACACCAGGACATCCCAGCACATCCAGGCACCCCACAGTCAGTCACCCCACCACACCAGGACATCCCAACACATCCAGGCATCCCAAAACCAGTCACCCCACCATGGCAGGACATCCCAACACATCCAGACACCTCATAATCTGTCACCCCACCACACCAGGACATCCCAACACATCCAGGCACCCCACAACCAGTCACCCCACCACGGCAGGACATCCTCCCAAGCCCAATCCCCCCACAGCTGGACACCCCACCATGGCAGGACATCCCAACACACCCAGGCACCCCAAAAACAGCCACCCCACCACACCAGGACATCCCCCCAAGCCCAAGCCCCCCACAATCGGCCACCTCACCACACCAGGACATCCCACCACAGCCAGGCACCCCACAACCAGTCACCCCACCACGGCAGGACATCCCACCACATCCAGACACCCCAAAACCAGCCACCCCACCACACCAGGACATTCCAACACATCCAGGCACCCCACAAACAGTCACCCCACCACACCAGGACATCCCAACACATCCAGGTACCCCACAATCGGTCACCAGGTACCCCAAAACCAGTCACCCCACCACAGCAGGATATCCCACCACATCCAGGTACCCCAAAACCAGGCACCCCACCATGGCAGGACATCCCAACACACCCAGACACCCCACAAACAGTCACCCCACCACACCAGGACATCCCACCACATCCAGACACCCCACAATCGGTCACCCCACCACACCAGGACATCTCCCCAAGCCCACCACCCCACAACCAGTCACCCCACCACACCAGGACATCTCAACACATCCAGACACCCCACAGCCGGACACCCCACCATGGCAGGACATCCCACCACATCCAGACACCCCACAAACAGTCACCCCACCACACCAGGACATCCCACCACATCCCAGACACCCCACAAACGGTCACCCCACCATGGCAGGAAATCCCAACACACCCAGACACCCCACAACCGGTCACCCCACCACACCAGGACATCCCAGCACACCCAGACACCCCAAAAACAGCCACCCCACCACACCAGGACATCCCAACACACCCAGACACCCCAAAAACAGCCACCCCACCACACCAGGACATCCCAACACACCCAGGCACCCCACAACCAGTCACCCCACCACAACAGGACATCCCAACACAGCCAGGCACCCCACAAACGGTCACCCCACCACACCAGGACATCCCACCACATCCAGACACCCCACAAACAGTCACCCCACCACACCAGGACATCCCAACACACCCAGGCACCCCACAACTGGTCATCCCCCCACGTCAGGACATCCCCCAATCCCAAGCACCCCAAAACCAGTCACCCCACCACACCAGGACATTCCACCACATCCAGGCACCCCAAAATCGGTCACCCCACCACAGCAGGACATCTCCCCAAGCCCACCACCCCACAACCAATCACCCCACCACGGCAGGACATCCCAGACACCCCACAATCGGTCACTCCACCACGGCAGGACATCCCAACACACCCAGGCACCCCACAACCAGCCACCCCACCACGGTAGGACATCTCCTCAAGCCCACCACCCCACAAGCAGTCACCCCACCACACCAGGACATCCCAACACATCCAGGCACCCCACAATCGGTCACCCCACCACAGCAGGACATCCCAACACATCCAGGCACCCCACAACCAGTCACCCCACCACGGCAGGACATCCCCCCAATCCCAAGCCCCCCACAATCGGCCACCTCACCACACCAGGACATCCCAACACATCCAGGCACCCCAAAACCTATCACCCCACCACACCAGGACATCCCCCCAATCCCAAGCCCCCCACAACCGGTCACTCCACCATGCCAGGACATCCCCAAGCCCCACATCCTCAGCAGACACCCCAACACATCCAGGCACTCACCAGCCACCACACCAGGACATCCCCCAATCCCAAACACCCCCAACCCCTCCAACTCCCCCCAACCCCCGAATCCCGGTACTCACTGTCCCCCTCCACCTTCTCTGGCGTGCGGCTCCAGACGATCTGCCGCGTCTCCAGCTTCACCTGGAAGGTCCTCCTCTCGGGCCTCTGCGACTTCTTCTGGTAGAAGAGGGTGAGGACGGTGCCCATCTCCAGGCAGCGCAGGACCCTGCCCATGTCTCCCGCCTCCATCCTGGCGTCCTGCAGGAATCCATTGACGCCGCCGAGCCGGGCCATGGACATCTCGGACATCTCGGACATCTCTCAGCGCTGGGGCATCATCGCCGGCAACGCGGGGGGCTCATGCAGGAGGGGACGATGCGAAGGGCCCGGAGCTCCCCGCGGGATTTGGGATTCGCCCTGGGGTTTTTCCTCTATGCGGGCGTTTTTTCGTTCCACGGCCGGGATTGGGAGAAGGGAAGGGAGGAGGGGAATAATAAAAAAAAAAAAAAGGCAGGGCTGGAGGTACCGTGACCGGCTCCGGATCCGGTGTCGGCATCCAGGGGAGGGAGGGGGGAAAAGATCGGGGGGTAACGCAGGGGTGGATTTGGGAGCGTGGGGAGGGAGGAAGAATCATCCGCTGGATGGAGGGATGATGGTGGTGATGGTGGTGATGGTGGGAGAGAACCTTCGTGGGGAAGAAAACCTACCCCCCCCTCCAAAAAAAAACCTCAACCCTAAAAAAACCAAAAAAGCAAAAACACACCCCTTAAAAAACGCCAACCCTTAAAAAAAAAATAAATTAAAAAACCCCATCCCCCTAAAAAAACCCCAACCAAAACCCTAAAGAAACCCCATCCCTCTAAAAAAAACCACAAAACCCCTAACAAAAATCCTTAAAAAACCCCATCCCCATAAAAAAAAACACAAAAAAACACTTAAAAAAACCCCATCCCCCTAAAAAAAACCCAAAAAAAACCCTTAAAAAAACCCCCCCATCCCCCTAAAAAAAACAACTAAAAACCCTTAAAAAAATCCCATCCCCCTAAAAAAAAAAACCACAACCCCAAATCACCCCAAAAAGTGCCTCGAGGTGGCAAATCCCCTCCGGGCCGGGCTTAGGGGAAAAAAAAGGGTGTGGAAAAAAAAAAATCAAAGGGGGAGGTGGAAAAGGGGGTGTCGAGGGGAGGTCGGGAGGTTTTGGGAGCGGCGGGATCGGGAAGGAGGTGATGTTTGAGGAGGGGGTGGGTGAGGGATGGGGAGTGGGGGTGGTGAGGGAGGGGGTTATTTTTTATCCCACCGTCCTCCTCCTCCCCCCTTTTTTTATTTTCCCTGCCGGCTCCTTAATTTGGGGTTGATGAAATGGACGCCCGGAGGAAACTGCAATCACACATGGCCGGAAAGAGCTCCGAAAGGAATTTAAAAAAAAAAAAAAAAAGGCAGGATCTTGGAGAAAGGAAAGGAAAGAAAAGGGAGGGAAAGCGGCCGAGAGTGACATCTAGAGGAATTCCACGTGGGAACAGGATTTACGGGGGTTATCCTAAATATTGGGGGGTTTTTCTTGGAGCTGCCTGCGTGGAGGGGATAAAAGGGTTAAAGGAAAGCGGCTGGAGCCGATTAACTCCTGATTGTCCTGGTGGGAATGAACCGGAGCGGAGTCAGCGCTGGCACGAGTTTGTCCCGTCTCAGCCGGCCGGGAAGGAAAGGGTTGGGAAGTGCCGTGGGAAGGGGAAGAAACACTTGGAAAGGGGGAAAAAAAAAATAAAGGAGGCAGGGAAGAGGGATCTGGACTGGCTGGGAATCAGGGAGACATCCCGGTTTTCCACCTTTCCCAGAATTCGGGGGGGAGGACACGGGGTTTTGTTTTCCTCGCTTTATCCAGGAATTTCCCTTCTGTTTTATCCAGGAATTCCCTTCTGTTTTATCCAGGAATTCCCTTCTGTTTTATCCAGAAATTCCCTTCTGTTTTATGCAGGAATTCCCTTCTGTTTTATCCAGGAATTCCCTTCTGTTTTATCCACGAATTCCCATCTTTTTTATCCAGAAATTCCCTTCTGTTTTATACAGGAATTCCCTTGTTTTATCCAGGAATTCCCTTCTGTTTTATCCAGGAATTCCCTTCTGTTTTATCCAGGAATTCCCTTCTGTTTTATCCAGAAATTCCCTTCTGTTTTATGCAGGAATTCCCTTCTGTTTTATCCAGGAATTCCCATCTGTTTTATGCAGGAATTCCCTTCTGTTTTATGCAGAAATTCCCTTCTGTTTTATCCACGAATTCCCTTGTTTTATACAGGAATTCCCTTCTGTTTTATACAGGAATTCCCTTCTGTTTTATCCAGGAATTCCCTTCTGTTTTATCCAGGAATTCCCTTCTGTTTTATCCAGGAATTCCCTTCTGTTTTATGCAGAAATTCCCTTCTGTTTTATCCACGGAATTCCCTTCTGTTTTATCCAGAATTCCCTTCTGTTTTATACAGGAATTCCCTTCTGTTTTATACAGGAATTCCCTTCTGTTTTATCCAGGAATTCCCTTTGTTTTATCCAGGAATTCCCTTCTGTTTTATCCAGAAATTCCCTTCTGTTTTATCCAGGAATTCCTTCTGTTTTATCCAGAAATTCCCTTCTGTTTTATACAGGAATTCCCTTCTGTTTTATCCGGGATTCCCTTCTGTTTTATGCAGAAATTCCCTTCTGTTTTATCCACGAATTCCCTTCTGTTTTATCCAGAAATTCCCTTCTGTTTTATACAGAATTCCCATCTGTTTTATTCAGAAATTCCCTTCTGTTTTATGCAGGAATTCCCTTCTGTTTTATCCAGGAATTCCCTTCTGTTTTATCCAGAAATTCCCTTCTGTTTTATCCGGGAATTCCCTTCTGTTTTATCCGGGAATTCCCTTCTGTTTTATGCGGAAATTCCCTTCTGTTTTATGCAGAAATTCCCTTCTGTTTTATCCAGGAATTCCCTTCTGTTTTATCCAGGAATTCCCTTCTGTTTTATCCAGGAATTCCCTTCTGTTTTGTACAGGAATTCCCTTCTGTTTTGTACAGGAATTCCCTTCTGTTTTATGCAGGAATTCCCTTCTGTTTTATCCACGAATTCCCATCTGTTTTATCCAGGAATTCCCTTCTGTTTTATCCAGGAATTCCCATCTGTTTTATCCAGGAATTCCCTTCTGTTTTATCCAGGAATTCCCTTCTGTTTTCCCTCTCCTCTGGAGCGGGATGAGCTTTGGAAGCCGCAGAGGTGGCTCCTTCTCGTGTTTGGGATTTCCAATTCCAGGCAAATCCTGTCTTGGAGCCCCCCCCCTGTCCATCTGGGAACTGAAAATCCCGATGGAGCACTGGAATAAAAGGTGGTTTTTCCACAGGGAACTGGGCTTTGGCTCCTGATCCATCCAAAGCCTGTGGGAGGAGAAGGAATGTTCTGTTTAACGGGAGCGGAATTCCCAAAGTAAACACCCTACGGATTCCCTGGAAGGGGCAGAGAATCCCTGGAGAATCCCTGGGAATATTCCAAAGGGGTCATGGTGCTGCTGGAAAACTCTGGGATGACTCTTCCATGGAGGTGTTGGGATATCATGGGAAGGACGATCCGTGGATTCACCGAGATCCATCCGGACGTGCCGATAAACCCGGAGGGGCTTCAGCTGGAAAAACGGATCCCAGCAGGAATTAGGGAAGTTTAATTCCCTCTGTGAGCTTTGCTAACCCGAAGGAAAACTCCCTGTGGATCCCTGGAAGGGGCAGAGGAACTGGAGATTCCCTGGGGGCTTCCAGGAATGTCCCAAAATCCGCGGTTCCTCCGGGAAACTTTGGGCTGGCTCTTCCATGCAGGTCAGAGGAGCTGCTGGGATATCCTGGAGCTGCCCAGGAAGGAGGAGCCGTGGATTCACCAGATCCTGCAGGCTGGGAATGTTGCTGGGGGTGGAACTTTGCTAAACTGGGATAAATCCAAATCCCTGGATCGACGCCGGATCCGGGAAAAGCCCTGCCGGGCCCTGCTGATCCAGCTGAACATCCAAACCACGTTCCCAATCCAAATATTTACCTCTAGCAGCGCAGGGATTTGGTTCTTTAACCTTTCCAAGCAGGGGAAAAGTCCAAAGTGGTGGGGGAGCAAAGTCCTCCCTCCTTCCCAAGGGATCCACGGGAATGTTTTCATGTTGTGGAAATGCCACTGTGGTCCTGTGGAGGGTTGGTTGGATCCCTTGGAAACGGGCAGGGAAAAACCACATTCCCATTTCCAGGAGCTGATGGGGTCATTGATGGAATCATGGAATGGTTTGGGTGGGAAGGGAGCGGAAAAATCGTGGAATTCCAGCCCAGGACACCTCCCACTGTTCCAGGTTGCTCCAAGCTGGTCTTGGACACTTCCAGGGATGGAGCAGCCAGAGATTCTCTGGGAATTCCAGCCCAGCCCCTCCCCACCCTCCCAGCCAGGAATTCCATCCCAATATCCCACCTAACTCTGGGAAGCCATTCCCTGTGTCCCATCCCTCCAGCCCTCATCCCAAATCCCTCTCCAGCTCTCCTGGAGCCCCTGGAAGGTTCTCCAAGATCTCCCTGGATCCTTCCCTTCTCCAGGTGAACATTCCCAGCTCTCCCAGCCTGGCTCCAGCCCTTGGATCATCTCCGTGGCCTCCTCTGGAATTTCTCCAGCAGCTCCACACCCTCCTGCAGTTGGGAATTCCCAGTTGGATCCTGTAATTCCCAGGATCCTCTTCCCACAGAGCAGAAGATTTGGGATATCCTGGGATTAATCCACGTGGAGCTGCTTTTCCTGCTGAGAAAAAAATTTATGATCCTTCCTGCTTCCCTGAAAATTCCAACCATCCCAACTCCAGTGGATGAGACAGGGGAGGCTTCAGAGCCAATTCCCATTAAATAAACGGGAGCAGCTTTTCCTTTGGGATCCTGGAGCAGTTTCTTTCCCTGTTATTCCCATTTTCCTCCCTGTTTTCCATCTAATCCAAGGGACTTCTCCTTCCCTCGAGCCCCCGCTCCAGAGTCTTGCTGTTATCAGCAAAAAAAATTGGGATTCTGGAATTTTTTTGCCCTTTTCTTTCCCTCCCATTTCGAATTAAATTAGGAAAAGGTTTTATGGAGAAGAAGGAAGTTCCTGGAGGAAGAAAAGCTGCTCTTTGGAGCTGGGAATGTCCTGTGGGAATGTGGGAAAGACTTTTTGGTAGGGCCTGGAAGGATGGGATGAGGGGGGGGAGGGGTTTCAGGGGGAAGGGGAAGGTTTAGGTTGGAAAAAGAGGAGATTCCTTTAAAAATAAGGATGGGGAGAGGCTGGAATGGGTTGCTCAGGGAAGTTGTGGATTCTTCGTTTCTGGAAGTGTTGGGGAGGAGAAGGGAAAAGGAGGAGGAGAAGGAGGAGGAGAAGGAAAAGGAGGAGGAGGAAAAAGGAGGAGAAGGGAAAAGGAGGAGGAAAAAGAAGGAAAAAGGAGGAGGAGAAAGAGAAGGAGAAGGAGAAAGGAGGAGGAAAAAGAAGAAGGAAAAAGGAGAAGGAAAAAGGAGGAGGAGAAATAAAAGGAAAAAGGAGAAGGAAAAAGGAGAAGGAAAAGGAGGAGGAGGAAAAAGGAGGAGGAGAAGGAAAAGGAGGAGAAAGAGAAGGAGAAGGAAAAAGGAGGAGAAGGAGGAAAAAGGAGGAGAAGGAAAAGGAGGAGGAGAAAGAGAAGGAAAAGGAGGAGAAAGGGAAGGAGGAAGGAAAAGGAGGAGGAGGAAAAGGAGGAGGAGAAGGAAAAGGAGGAGAAAGAGAAGGAGAAGGAAAAAGGAGGAGAAGGAGGAAAAAGGAGGAGGAGGGAAAAGGAGGAGGAGAAAGAGAAGGAAAAAGGAGGAGGAGAAAGAGAAGGAGAAGGAAAAGGAGGAGGAGGAAAAAGGAGAAGGAGAAAGGAGGAGGAGGGAAAAGGAGGAGGAGAAAGAGAAGGAAAAAGGAGGAGGAGGAGGAGAAGGAGGAGGAAAAGGAGGAGGAGGAAAAAGAAGAAGGAGAAGGAAAAAGGAGGAGGAAAAGGAGGAGAAGGAAAAGGAGGAGAAGGAAAAGGAGGAGAAGGAAAAAGGAGGAGGAGAAAGAGAAGGAAAAAGGAGGAGAAGGAAAAAGGAGGAGAAGGAAAAGGAGGAGAAGGAAAAAGGAGGAGAAAGAGAAGGAGAAGGAAAAAGGAGGAGAAGGAAAAGGACAAAGGAGAAGGAAAAAGGAGAAGGACAAGGAAAAGAGGAGGAGAAGAAGGAGAAGGAAAAGCAGGAGGAGGAAAAAGGAGGAGGAGGAAAAGGAAGAAGGAAAAAGGAGAAGGAGAAGGAAAAAGGAGAAGGAGAAGAAGGAGAAGGAAAAGGAGGAGGAGGAAAAGGAGAAGGAAAAAGGAGAAGGAGAAGGAAAAGGAGGAGAAAGAGAAGGAGAAGGAAAAAGGAGCAGGAAAAAAGGAGAAGGAAAAAGGAGGAGGAGAAAGAGAAGGAAAAAGGAGGAGAAAGAGAAGGAAAAAGGAGGAGAAGGAAAAAGGAGGAGAAAGAGAAGGAGAAGGAAAAAGGAGGAGGAGAAAGAGAAGGAAAAAGGAGAAGGAAAAAGGAGGAGAAGGAAAAAGGAGGAGAAAAAAGGAGGAAGAGGAAAAAGGAGGAGGAAAAAGGAGGAGAAGGAAAAGGAGGAGGAGAAAAAGGAGAAGGAAAAAGGAGAAGGAAAAGGAGGAGGAGAAGGAGGAGGAGGAGAAGGAGGAGAAGGAAAAGGAGGAGGAGGAGGAGGAGAAGGAAAAGGAGGAGGAGGAAAAGGAGAAGGAAAAAGGAGAAGGAAAAGGAGGAGGAGGAAAAAGGAGGAGAAGAAAAAAGGAGAAGAAGGAAAAAGGAGGAGAAGGAAAAAGGAGGAGAAAGAGAAGGAAAAAGGAGAAGGAGAAAGGAGAAGGAAAAGGAGGAGAAGGAAAAAGGAGGAGGAGAAGAAGGAGAAGGAAAAGGAGGAGAAGGAAAAAGGAGGAGGAGAAAGAGAAGGAAAAAGGAGGAGGAGAAGGAAAAAGGAGGAGAAAGAGAAGGAAAAAGGAGGAGGAAAAGGAAAAAGGAGGAGGAGAAGGAAAAGGAGGAGGAGAAAGAAAAGGAAAAAAGGAGGAGGGAAAAGGAGGAGGAAAAAGGAGGAGGAAAAAGAAGAAGGAAAAAGGAGGAGGAAAAAGAGAAGGAAAAAGGAGGAGAAAGAGAAGGAAAAAGGAGGAGGAAAAAGGAGAAGGAAAAAGGAGGAGAAGGAAAAAGGAGAAGGAGAAAGGAGAAGGAAAAGGAGGAGAAGGAAAAAGGAGGAGGAGAAGAAGGAGAAGGAAAAAGGAGAAGGAGAAAGAAGGAGGAGAAGGAACCCATCCCAAGATTCCATGAATGACCCCTCAGCTCCTGGAAACGGGAGCATGGTTCTATTCCCTGATTGTTTTTTTTAATTAAATGAATTGCTGGAGCAGGAATGGAGGAAAAGGGGCTGGAAAGGCAAAAATGAGGAATATTTTAATTATTTTGTGTCTCCTTTTCCTTGTCCACAGATCCCAAGGGAAATGTGGGAAGCTGTGCCCTGAGCCAGGGATGTTCCTCCCCATTCCCTGCAAAGATTCCCATTAAAATGGGGCTTTTCCTGCTCTGGATCCTCCCATTCCAAAGCTCTCCTGAGGGGATGGACATTCCAGGATGATCCCGAGTGCTCCAAGATCCTCCAGGGCTGATTTGTCCCAGAGTTTGCTTTTCCTGCTTCCATATTTGGGTGTGAATTGGGAAAGGAGATTTTCCTGCTTCCATATTTTGGTGTGAATTGGGAAAGCAGCTTTTCCTGGTTCCATGTTTTGGTGTAAATTGGGAAAGAAGCTTTTCCTGGTTCCATGTTTGGGTGTGAATTGGGAAAGCAGCTTTTCCTTATTCCATATTTTGGTGTAAATTGGGAAAGCAGCTTTTCCTGGTTCCATGTTTGGGTGTAAATTGGGAAAACACTTTTTCCTGGTTCCATATGTAAATTGGGAAAACAGCTTTTCCTGGTTCCACATTTCACTGTAAATTAGGAAAGGAGATTTTCCTGCTTCTGTGTTTTCGGGTAAATTGAGAAAGCAGCTTTTCCTGCTTCCATATTTTTGTGTAAATTGGGAAAACACTTTTCCTGGTCCCATGTTTTGGTGTAAGTTGGGAAAACAGCTTTTCCTTATTCCATATTTTTGTGTAAATTGGGAAAGGAGATTTTCCTGGTTCTGTGTTGTGGTGTAAATTGGGAAAACAGCTTTTTCCTGGTTCCCTGTTTTGGTGTAAATTGGGAAAGCAGCTTTTCCTGCTTCCATATTTTTGTGTAAATTGGGAAAGCTGCTTTTCCTGCTTCCATATTTTTGTGTAAATTGGGAAAAGAGATTTTCCTAATTCCATGTTTGGGTGTAAATTGGGAAAGGAGATTTTCCTGGTTTCACATTTCACTGTAAATTGGGAAAGGAGCTTTTCCTTATTCCATATTTTGGTGTAAATTGGGAAAGCAGCTTTTCCTGTTTCTGTGTTGTGGTGTAAATTGGGAAAACACTTTTTTCCTGGTTCAGTATTGTGGTGTAAATTGGGAAAGCAGCTTTTCCTTATTCCATATTTGGGTGTAAATTGGGAAAACAGCTTTTCCTGGTCCCATGTTTTGGTGTAAATTGGGAAAGCAGATTTTCCTGCTTCCATATTTTTGTGTAAATTGGGAAAACATTTTTTCCTGGTCCCATGTTTTGATGTAAATTGGGAAAGCAGCTTTTCCTTATTCCATATTTGGGTGTAAATTGGGAAAACACTTTTTCCTAGTTCCATATTTTGGTGTAAATTGGGACAGGAGATTTTCCTGGTTCCATATTTGGGTGTAAGTTGGGAAAACAGCTTTTCCTAATTCCATATTTGGGTGTAAATTGGGAAAGCAGCTTTTCCTGCTTCCAGGTTTTGATGTAAATTGGGAAAGGAGATTTTCCTGCTTCCATATTTTTGTGTAAATTGGGAAAACACTTTTTCCTGGTTCCATGTTGTGGTGTAAATTGGGAAAGCAGCTTTTCCTTATTCCATGTTTTGGTGTAAATTGGGAAAGCAGCTTTTCCTGGTTCCATGTTGTGGTGTAAATTGGGAAAGCTGCTTTTCCTGGTTCCATATGTAAATTGGGAAAGGAGATTTTCCTGGTTCCATGTTTTGGTGTAAATTGGGAAAGGAGATTTTCCTGGTTCCGTGTTGTGGTGTAAATTGGGAAACTCTGCTCTCCTCATTCCCAACCTCTTCCCAACATCCCAAACTGGGAAAAAATCGAGGATTTGGGGGATGAAATCAGGGATGGGGATGGAATCAGGGATGGAATCAGGGATGGAATCAGGGATGGATGGGATGAAATCAGGGATGGGGATGAAATCAGGGATGGAATCAGGGATGGAATCAGGGATGGAGGGATGAAATCAGGGATGGATGGGATGAAATCAGGGATGGAAATGAAATCAGGGATGGAATCAGGGGTGGGGATGGAATCAGGGATGGATGGGATGAAATCAGGGATGGAAATGAAATCAGGGATGGAATCAGGGGTGGGGATGGAATCAGGGATGGATGGGATGAAATCAGGAATGGATGGGATGAAATCAGGGATGGAAATGAAATCAGGGATGGAATCAGGGATGGGGATGGAATCAGGGATGGGGATGGAAATGAAATCAGGGATGGGGGGATGGAATCAGGGATGGGGATGGATGGGATGGCTAGGAATGGGACAGGGAAAAGCTGGGATCCTTCCCTTCTCCAGGGGAACATTCCCAGCTCTCCCTAATCTGGAGAAGAAGCAAATCCAGTCCCTTCCCATTCCAGTCAGGGCTGTCAATGGATCCCAAATCCCTTCCCATTCCAGTCAGGGCTGTCAATGGATCCCAAGTCCCTTCCCATTGTGGTCAGGGCTGTCGATGGATCCCAAGTCCCTTCCCATTCCAGTCAGGGCTGTCGATGGATCCCAAATCCCTTCCCATTCCAGTCAGGGCTGTCAATGGAATCCAAGTCCCTTCCCATTCCAGTCAGGGCTGTCAATGGATCCCAAGTCCCTTCCCATTCCAGTCAGGGCTGTCAATGGATCCCAGTCCCTTCCCATTCCAGTCAGGGCTGTCAATGGATCCCAAATCCCTTCCCATTGTGGTCAGGGCTGTCGATGGATCCCAAATCCCTTCCCATTGTGGTCAGGGCTGTCGATGGATCCCAAGTCCCTTCCCATTCCAGTCAGGGCTGTCAATGAAATCCAATCCCTTCCCATTGTGGTCAGGGCTGTCAATGGATCCCAAGTCCCTTCCCATTCCAGTCAGGGCTGTCAATGGATCCCAAGTCCCTTCCCATTCCAGTCAGGGCTGTCAATGAAATCCCAGTCCCTTCCCATTCCAGTCAGGGCTGTCGATGGATCCCAAGTCCCTTCCCATTCCAGTCAGGGCTGTCAATGGATCCCAAATCCTTCCCATTCCAGTCAGGGCTGTCAATGGAATCCCAAGTCCCTTCCCATTCCAGTCAGGGCTGTCAATGGATCCCAAGTCCCTTCCCATTGTGGTCAGGGCTGTCAATGGATCCCAGTCCCTTCCCATTCCAGTCAGGGCTGTCAATGGATCCCAAGTCCCTTCCCATTGCAGTCAGGGCTGTCGATGGATCCCAAGTCCCTTCCCATTCCAGTCAGGGCTGTCAATGGATCCCAAGTCCCTTCCCATTGTGGTCAGGGCTGTCAATGGATCCCAAGTCCCTTCCCATTGCAGTCAGGGCTGTCAATGGATCCCAAGTCCCTTCCCATTCCAGTCAGGGCTGTCAATGGATCCCAAGTCCCTTCCCATTGTGGTCAGGGCTGTCAATGGATCCCAAGTCCCTTCCCATTGTGGTCAGGGCTGTCAATGGATCCCAAGTCCCTTCCCATTCCAGTCAGGGCTGTCAATGGATCCCAAGTCCCTTCCCATTGCAGTCAGGGCTGTCAATGGATCCCAAGTCCCTTCCCATTGCAGTCAGGGCTGTCAATGGATCCCAAGTCCCTTCCCATTCCAGTCAGGGCTGTCAATGGATCCCAAGTCCCTTCCCATTCCAGTCAGGGCTGTCAATGGATCCCAAGTCCCTTCCCATTCCAGTCAGGGCTGTCAATGGATCCCAAGTCCCTTCCCATTGTGGTCAGGGCTGTCGATGGATCCCAAGTCCCTTCCCATTGCAGTCAGGGCTGTCAATGGAATCCAATCCCTTCCCATTCCAGTCAGGGCTGTCAATGGATCCCAAGTCCCTTCCCATTCCAGTCAGGGCTGTCGATGGATCCCAAATCCCTTCCCATTCCAGTCAGGGCTGTCAATGAAATCCCAGTCCCTTCCCATTCCAGTCAGGGCTGTCGATGGATCCCAAGTCCCTTCCCATTGTGGTCAGGGCTGTCAATGGATCCCAAGTCCCTTCCCATTCCAGTCAGGGCTGTCAATGGATCCCAAGTCCCTTCCCATTGTGGTCAGGGCTGTCAATGGATCCCAAGTCCCTTCCCATTCCAGTCAGGGCTGTCGATGGATCCCAAGTCCCTTCCCATTCCAGTCAGGGCTGTCGATGGATCCCAAGTCCCTTCCCATTCCAGTCAGGGCTGTCAATGGATCCCAAGTCCCTTCCCATTCCAGTCAGGGCTGTCAATGGATCCCAAGTCCCTTCCCATTGTGGTCAGGGCTGTCGATGGATCCCAAGTCCCTTCCCATTCCAGTCAGGGCTGTCAATGGAATCCAATCCCTTCCCATTCCAGTCAGGGCTGTCAATGGAATCCAATCCCTTCCCATTCCAGTCAGGGCTGTCGATGG